GCTTTAGTCCACATGATTTTTTTTGGTCACATTTAATGAAAAATAGAAAATTAAATTTCATACTATGATTCATACTTCATTAAACTTGAAGTCTAAATTTTTCCACCCTGCGCTATTATTCCACCTTGCACTATTATTAAATTCTTGATATTTTTCCTCCCTGCACTATTATTTGAAATACGAGAATGGATGACCAAAGTTATTCTGATATAGGTTTTAGGTATGTATGGTCAACTTTTAACCTCCCCTCTATGTTGTTTGAAAGATAGTAACATGCTGCATTCACAGCAATTACAGATCTTAGAGTAAAGGGATAAACTACTGAAAAATAAGCAACAAATGCTTTACAATAAATATTCAGCTCAAAGTGACAGCCAGAGAAAGTAAATACCTGAACTTATTATCAGTTGGCTTTAAAATACATTCACAAATACTTGATTACAGCAATAATTATTGGGTTTGGCTGATATGGAAATTTGATGTGATTATCCACAAAAACCTAATTTGCTAGGCAAGTGCTTTTTTGATGCTAACCCATTTGATATGGGCAAAGGAAGGAAAAACATTGAATGAACTATTTAACAAAAAAAAAATCGGACAAAACTGCCAAATTTAAGTTAACAAAAAAGCATTTGAAATTTTTGTTTTCTTAACTTAAGAAATATTAAGATTATGTAGAACCTGCAAAAACCCCAGAATTCTTAAGATACTTTAAATGTAAGTAAACCAATCAATAATCGGGTATCTAAGTCATGGATACTTGCCCCAGCATTTTAAAGCAGATTTTTCTAAACATTATTCTTTTGCAGCTGGTAGTTAATAATGTAAGTTTTATTTTGTATCATTTGAGAATGCTCTTAGAGGCCCCCCAAGTGGCACAGCAGTATGTCTGCGGCTTTACAATGCTAGAAACCGGGTTTCGATACCCATGGTGGGCAGAGAACAAATAGCCCATTGTGTAACTTTGTGCTTAAATTCAAACAGACAAACTTGCTCTTAGGGATTTATGTTTTGCAATAAATTAACCTCCTCAGAAACATTATGATATATAATGCCATGCTCAACGCTTGTAAAAAAAACGTTTAAACTGTGAAATGTTTGTAAGTTATGAATAGAAAGGTACTTTTAAAAATTCATACATAAAAGGTAATGTTCAGATAAATCTAAACAGTGATGAACACAAAAACCTTATTTTTCTTTTGCAATTAAATAAATAAGATATTGCACTAAATGCAAGAAATTTTATTATTTAGAAGATGCAAGTGTTTTGTAAAGTTTTTTATGAACACCATTTCAAATCTAATGGAGATGATTCATTTTTTCTTTATGGCTAATCCTTCAACAATTGATATGTCTTTAAGAGCCCATAGATAAGTTGTGTAGCTGAAGAATGAATAATGTATAGAATATTAATAATTCCTATTTTCTCCTCAGTTCTGAGGCCCCTGTAAATCGACTCATTCGCTGCTATTCTCAAAATCGCTACATGTGCTATGAACTTTTTGGATTTGACATTATGTTGGACAAGAACCTTAAGCCTTGGCTACTAGAAGTTAATATTTCTCCTAGGTAAGAGAATATTGGGATAAAAAGTATAGATATGTATTTAAAGTCATTGCATCTTAAAGTTGAATTTTGTCTTCAGTGTTTTACATCAATCAATATATTAATTTTGAATGCTTGAGGCTATTATTGTAATCTCTTAAAAAATGCCTTTCTTGTATTTCTATGTAATAAAATCTGTCATGTAGCATACACCCAAACCTAATATTTAAGGTTTGTTTTATGTGCTTTCTTGTATAACAATTGATAAGTGCTTGTGAGCATGAACAGAAGACAAATTCTTGAATGAATGTTTGATGCCTCCTTCTTGCCTTCATTCAAGTGCAAAAATGTAAGGAATTAATGAATATTTAAAATGTTTATAAAATTTAAATTATTATGACATGATAGTATTATTTTTAGATTTATGTTTATTCATAATTGTACAGTTGATAAATTTTGCACCTAAACTGCTTGTTTAAAATTTCTATTGAAAGAATGTTAATTTTGGTGTTTGCATGCTTATCTAAGCAGGAATTCTGCTTGTGCTGCTGAGTTAAGTATTGACATTCAAAAACATCAGTATTATTTTCTAATCTATTTGTGTAAGCATTTGCAATTGTTGTTTTAATAATGCTTAACTCATTCCAGCACAGGAGACTTGACTCACAGTCTGCAAGCTCAAATCCTGTCACTGAAAATGCTCACCCTTTTGGTTATGAGGGTGTTATAAAGTGACAGCTAATCCCACTATTTGTTGGTAAAGAACAGCCCAAGAGTTGGTTTTGGTGGCATTAAGTATCTACCTAACCTATAGTCTATCACTTCAAAATTAGGGATGGCTAGTGCAGATAGCCCTTGAGTAGCTATATGTGAAATTCCACAAACAAACCAGCCCAAGGGCAGTATATTT